ATATATTGTTACGAGTTATAATTGAGTAGATTTACCGGTACATATACTGACCATACAACGACACAGCATATTGTTTTTTGATTTATTATTATTTATATATATATATATATATATTGTTTCGAGTTATAATTGAGTAGATTTACCGGTACATATACTGATAATACAATGAACAACGTATTGTTTTGTATTTATAACTATTACATAATCTGATTAATCATCAATTATATTTATATAGGTGTTCCCCAATGCGGCGCATTGTCTATGCACCTATCATATCTCCAACAAATTGAAGATGCATTATAAGACTGAGGCACAAGCAGTAAAAGAGGAATTTTATGCAGCAGCAAGGGCTTATACCGTAGAGGAATTCAATATGCATATGTCTCAAATAATGAAGTTGAATCCGGATGTCGTAACGTATCTAAATAAAATTGGCATTCAAAAGTGGGCACGAGTTCATTGCCCCAATAATAGATACTTTACCATGACATCCAATGCTGCTGAGTCAATAAATGCTGCCATTCGAACTGTTCGTGACCTACCGATAACAACACTACTAGAGGCTCTTAGAGACATGCAACAGAGGTGGAATGTGGCAAACAAGGATGAAGCGAAATGCACATTTACTACTCTTGCAAAGAAGCCACATAGTATGTTGGAACATAATTACAAAATAGCAGCAAGATATTCTGTAAGTATAAATGGTCTTCTTTTTATTTATTTATGTATTTTTTCGTTGCTTCTGATTTTTTATTTTATGTGAACATTTTATCCGACATATACCACAAATATACTTCAAATATACTGAAATGTGTAACAGGTGCAGAAAGCCAGTGACAAAGTGTATAAAGTGATAGCTGATGGTAAAGCCTTCATAGTGGACACAGAGTCAAAGTCCTGCACATGCCACCGCTTTCAAGTTGATGAGCTGCCGTGCCCGCATGCTATACGTGTTATAAAGTCACTCCACGTGGATCCGGTTCCATTCTGTTCTGTGTACTACCTTAACTCTACATTGTTGGCAACTTATGAGGATGCTGTTACACCGATTGAAGGAAATATAGCATTCAGGAGTGAAGGGCAATCTGACCGTACATTGATAAGTCCCCCAAATGCACGAGTCAGGCCAGGTCGACCACGCAAACAACGGGTAAAGTCGGGATGGGAGCATAGGTCAAAAAATAGGTGCAGCAAGTGTAATGAGAAAGGTCACAATGTGAAAACTTGTAGGAATCCGAAAAGATGAGATTATAATAATTGTTATGTATAATTTGAATCGTTCTTAATTCATTATTCTGTTGTTTATTTTTTGTGTTTGTATTATTAATATGTGCAGTTTTGACGTATCATATTGGTATATGTTTGTTATTTTTGTGTGAGAATAAAAGCAAAATATGTATTAAGTTGTATTATGTATATATTTCTATTATATTATGGGTATATGTTTGTTATAGGTTCTGACTCCTAATAGGATAAAATAAAATGTGGCATATAATTGCATATACTCCACATTTAGTCATAATAAAACATTAAAAGAGTGTAAGTTAAAATGGAACATAACATTGCATATACTCCACAGATAACCCATCATTAAAAGAGTGTAAGTTACATAACATCGCATATACTACACACATAAACCTCATTATGTGTGTAGTATATGTTTGTGTTATTTACTAAACATTTTTACAACAAGAGTGTAAGTTATGTACTAAACATTTTACCATTGCATATACTCCACATATAATCATAATAAAAACATTAAAAGAGTGTAAGTTAAAATGGAACATAAGATTGCATATACTCCACACATATAACTAAATATACCAAAACATATAACTAGAATTCCCAAAATGTAACTAGAAATAAAACCAAGCATCACAAGTTCACATCCACAAATTGTCATATTAATACCTAGCACAATCATATCCACTTACGCTAATGTTCGACACAATAAGTTCACATCCAAATTGTCAAATACACCACACCAAATGAAAAAAAAAATACTACGGTCTACAATGGGCTTCCCTATTGCAAAAATCCGAACCGAACTTCATCAGGAACACTGCCTGGCGAATCATCGTCACTATCGCACTCGTTAACATGTTTCATTAGGCCATGTTTGTAGAGCAAATATCCATATCTCTCCCTTTGCGAGTTGATATCAAACTTCTCCTTGGAAATCTCGTGACCCGAAATGAAATGTTCAGCGAACGAAGCAACAAACACCCCACAATCGCTGCCCACACCAGAACAATTTAAGATTTGTGATTTAATGATGATAATAATAATAATATAATAATAATAATAATAAGAATAATAGCAATCAGTACATTCGTAAAGCAATGAGGAGAAAAAAATGTGAACCTGTTGAGCTGTTGTGGTAAATTATCGACCATTACGACCTCAAAATTGCCATTACAGGCCAATCCTTTCTTCGAAAACTTAATCAGTCGAAGATAAATGGGAATGATCTCAACATAAGCCTGCACTGTCTCAATAGCAATTTTATCGCAATCTTCTGTGCGAATTGAATTGTATATATAAAGTTTCAGATCATCAAGGGAAAGGCGTCCCAATATCCAATGACCGACTCCATTTATGTCTAGATGAATTGGGAACATAACGTGGTCAACATTCGCCCAAGGGAGCCCACATATAATCTTATAGCCCAATATGTAGTCAAATATCATATCATGAACATTGCAGAGGGATTGATCACGAGACCTGGACAAATACAAGGTGTACAACGACTTAATGTGTTGGTCGAACAACACATCAGTCGTTGTGAACTTGACGGGGGCACTTTTGGCATAGAGTCCAAACTTCCTCAAGTAATAAAAGATGACATCCATGTGCTACAAATGAGAATCAAAAAATTGTCACGGATTTATTTGTTAGAAATACGTAAAAAAATATTCAACATATAATAAGGTATCCAACACATACTTTAGTTATACTAACTATATACTGAAATTTAAACAACCACAAAAACACAAAGTTAGACACATTCTACTTTAATGCAAGAACCGTTATATGTACCAGTAATATTAAATTAATATAATAACTGTAGAACAAAATGCCACTTACGCTGCTGTCGAGGAAGCAGTTTATCTCAAAGATGTTGTAAAACCAGTTCTTGTCCGTTACCACGGCAACATTGAAGTCAAACGGTTTGGGCAATGTCTTGCTAAGTTTTCTGTAGTAGTTGAGCCTGAAAATGAAGTGAGTATGTGTTAGTATATGTATGGTATATTTAAATATTAATTTTTGGTGTATATAAAGTATATGTAAAGTATATTGTTGAGAACTTAATTGCCGCTGTTTCACGTACCCGTTGTCGACTTTACGAGGAGCAGTCCGGAGCAGCCCGTCGGCAATCCAATCCCTGTATTTCGTCATGTCCACTTTGCCAGACACAGCTATGTCAAAAGCGACATCAAATGGGCATGATCTAAAACATCGTACTTTCTTCTTCGGACAAGTTTCCTTCTTCGATTTTTCTTTAGGATTCGATGTTGGTTTCACGGCTTCTATCTTTGGTACATACACAACCACAACATTGCTTTCTTTCGCCTTTACTACATTCTCCTCGACAGGAGCAGACTGATGATAGTGACATAAAAAACATAAAATTATTATTACACTACGTGTGGAATTGAAAGATGTTAAAAAATAGTAACGATTGAAGTAATTTAAATTACATTATTGTGCGTCGATGGAATAGCATTCTTGGATGGTGGTGTCGGTGGTAGAGTCGGCCATTACAGCATCAAATGACGGCTGCGATCCATTCACTGCGTAACCATAGATGGGGTGTGGGTCATAGTTGAAACCTCTCTGCATACCAAAACAAAAGAAAAAAAAAAGATTATATATAAATGCCACATGTTTAATAATATGTGTGTATGTAAATTCCATATTTTTACCGGTTCTTTCCCCTTGGATGATTCATTCAACTTTTCTTTCCCCTTGGATGATTCATTCAACTTTTCTTGCAAAGTCCGGTCAATTTCCTCTAGGAATTGGGTGTTAATCATGGAGAATGTGTCATCATCGTCTTCACCACTTGCTATATGTAAATCAGGCTGGGGTAAATTTTGAACTGGTACATGGGTACCGGGCTCTGGAACAAACTAAGCAAAAGAAAGAAAGTAAAAATGACATATGAACCAGTCTGTTATGACATGAAAATGACATGTAATAATAAACATGAAATGTGGGAGATGTAATGACATATGAAAATGGGTATATTTTGTAACATGATTATATGTGGAGTAATGACGTCTAAAAGACATATGAAAGAAAGTAACTTTCCTCTCTATCACATTAACCACACTCTTTTTATGTTATATTTTGATTATATGTGGAGTATATGCAATGCCATGATACACTTTAACTTACCTTATATGCTGCATTCTTCATAAGATCTTCAGATTTGGTTCTGTATGCGCTTGCTGGAGATTTCACACTCGTATTCTCAACATTAACATCAGTAGCCTTCTGAAGAGGCTACAGACATAAAATAAATAAATAAATAAATAAGAAAAAGATCAACACAATGGCGTATATCCTAATTTGATAGAGCTGCTTACCTTGTCTGCTGCTCGCTTCATAAGTGCTTCAGATTTTGTTCTGAAGGCTCTTACTGGAGACTTCACAATCGTATTCTCAACATTAATATCAGAAGCCTTCTGTAGCCGAAGAGGCTACATGCATAAAAAAATAAAATAAATAAATAAATAAGAAAAAGATGAACACAATGGCGTATATCCTAATTTGATAGAGCTGCTTACCTTGTCTGCTGCTCGCTTCATAAGTGCTTCAGATTTTGTTCTGAAGGCTCTTACTGGAGACTTCACACCCGTATTCTCATCATTAACAGCAGAAGCCGTCTGAAGAGTCTACCGACATAACCAAAAAAAAAAAAACACACACAAAAATGAACACAATGGCATAATACCTTATAGAGTTGTTTAATAAGATATAATGTGGACAATAAATATTAATATCGACCAAACAAACCATTTCTTTTTCGGCTGAACTATGAATGGGCACTTCATTCCCATCGCAAACATCGCTCGTGTTTCCTCTGTCTGTGTGATGCTCTTTACTTGAGCCACCCTGTTGTATTATGATAAATGTGATGAGATGAAGATTGATTACTTAAAATGAACAAAGCCACCCTGTTGTATTATGACAAATGTGATGAGATGAAGATTGATTACTTAAAATGAACAAACAGTAGACAAATTGCACATGAAGTCCAAAAAACAGAATTTAAGACAAGAAAATAAAGTTGATATGTACTTGACTGCTGCATATTCTGATTATATGTTTTATTCTGGTATATGTAGTGATATGGAACATAATGTGGTTTGCCTGTTGAATATACCCTGACTGTGAGATGGGGTTGAATATACTGTTGAATATGAACTTGTCTGGTGAATATACTGTTGAATATACCCTGACTGTAATGATATGAAGTCCAAAAAACAGAATTTAAGACAAGAAAATAAAGTTGATATGTACTTGACTGCTGCATATTCTGATTATATGGTTTTATTCTAGTATATGTAATGATATTGAACATAATGTGGTTTGTCTGTTGAATATACCAAAAATGTACCTGACTGCTGCGTAACATAATTTAAGACAAAAAATGTACCTGACTGCTGCATATACCGAAAAATATACTAAAACTATATCGAAGAATATAGTATATATGCAGCAGACATACTACACATATAATGTGGTTTGTCTGTTGAAAAAATGTTTAGTAAATAACACAAACATATACTACACATATAATTTGGTTTTATCTGCTGCATAAAATGTTTAGAAAAAAAATAACAAACATATAAAAAAGTATATATGGGGGCAGACATATAATAATCATACAGTGTGGCTTATGTGAGCATATATACAGAAGTATACTAAACATAAAATCAATAAACGTGAACAAATACTTACAAGTAATGTCTCCTTGAAAAATTCAAACTCAGCAAAAACACGTCTCGAGAATTCGATGAAGGATTGCTTCAAACTCTCAAGTTCAGCAGTAATTGTGTCTAGCCGGGTTATAACATCAACACCATTGGTGTGTCGTGGAGTGTCAGTTGATGGAATCTCGTTTTGCGTGAACTCATTTTTGTTTTTGAAGAATGAGTTCAGCAAAAGAATCTGTCTCTCGGACTCGGTGGGGATTATGTTCTTGAACTGTGCAAACAAATTAAAAAAAATAAAAAAATTATCTAGACACAGTTATATATATATATAAGAGAGGTTGGGGCTATGTTGTTCAACTGTGAAAACAATTAACAAAAGAAAGTTATAAATATAGAGATATAAATATATAAGAAAACATAAATATTTACCTTAGAGTAGTGAAGGTTGGAAAAGGTCCTCTCCATGAAAATACGAGTATAGCTATCTCTGACTTCCCACTTAAGTATCCTGGGGATATCATGTACACGAAGATTTGTAGAGAGTACACCCTGAGCAGGTTCGCAAACCTTATAGAACCAGGTCTGAAGCGCCAGAATAAGACCATAACAACGATATAGGTAGCCAGCCCCCTCAGCCTTCTCAAAGATATGCATCTGCTCTCTCGTGTGAATCGATTTCTTTAGGTAATAAAGGGTAAACTCAAATACATCGGTACCCCAGGAATAATCATCGCATTCCGCGCTGTCAATCATGTCAACATAGCAGCGTTCGATGCGAAGGGCGTCTTGAGATCCCATGAGAAAATTCGCTAACAAGTGTAATTTAGCTAATTTGACGGCGTCTTCATCACTCACCCATGACTTTTTTTGAAACTGCCATCTGATATGGTTCCGAGTTAAGTCAATTCCCTCGAAATACTTGTCGTGGAGGCCATCAGAAATCTTGGGAATATTCATCTTTTTGCTTCGTTCAGCGCATTTCAAACCAGTGACAACAGCAAACTCTTCAATGCCAAAACGGAGAAATTTCCCTCCGAAATTAAACCAAAGCTCATCTGTCCTGCTATGATGAACCTCGCGCAACAGTATGTAGTTTATGAGCTGGTTTTGTATAATGCATTGAGGGAGGTCCAAGAACTTCCCAAACGCTGACCTCCTAAAAATCTCCAACTGCTCCTTCGTAAGCGTTTTCTTAATTTCACTTATTGTTGAACGATCCTTGCTATTGTCATTGCTGTTTTGGATTTTGACGTTTATATCCCGTGGGTGCGGGATCAGCAATTCCCATTCCTGAAAAGCATTAACATAAAAAAATATATTTATATACAGTATAATGTACATAACTACCTGAACGTTGATAAAACTCGTGCAAATTGTTTACATTTTCATATTGGTGCATATACTGGAAACTTATATAGTTAACATGTACTTACTGAATAAAACTAATCAACTATACACCACATATACTTGACATGCTAAAAAATACAGTTTATGTTGTATACTGCACATATACTTACTGAATAAAACTAATCACATATACTCCACATATACTTCACATGCGTCACATATACTTATGTTGTATACTACACATATACTTCCGGAAAAAACTCATCACATATACTTCAACGCAAAAAAAAAAAAAANNAAAAAAAAAAAAAAAAAAATCGAAAAGCAACACATGGACCACAGTTTGAGGGGGTCTGATGAAGCATTAAAATGCAAAAAACAGCGCGGTTAAAACAAAAAAGGGGACACTTTCTTAACAAAAACAGTAGCATATTAATAGAACACTTGTTAATTTCTTCTAGGGAACCCCAAGACAAAATCAAAACTGAGTACATAGTAAACACTGGCAGTGTGATTATATACCAATAACAGAAAAATTATACTGTTAAAAAATGATAACTATATCCCACATATACTAGAATTATACTAAGTATATAGTAAATGATATTGAATAAGTGACAGTATGTTCTATACTGTTAAAATAAAATGACAAAATAAGAATTCAATCAAAAAACAAAACCACAACAGATAACATAACAAAATTTCCCAAAGAAAATGAAACAAAAGTTGAATGGGCCATTAACATTTGATCATAGACGTATGAAACTAGCTGACAAGCATCAAACATCTAATAAGGCCCGTACACAAGACAATCAAAGTTACATCATTTGAGTGTGGACCACTGAGAACACAAAAAAATCTTATAACAAGTTGAACACAGTGAACAAAAAATACTTCAATTAGTCATATAAATTACCTTATATGTCATTTTGTTCTGAAAATCTCGAGAGGGCTTGGTGACATCATTGTTGTCCCTTCTTCTCTTCTTCAATCTGTTGGCTTTGTCCCTTTCTTTTCTCGTTATTTTCTTTCGTTTTTTCGCCCGCATTTCAACCGGAGAGTCTTCATCTTCCAAATCTTCTTCGCTGTCGGAATCTTCGGGTTGGCTTACACACTCGAAGTCAGAGTCTTCTTCGCTCAGAACTCGGGTTTGCTTCTCCAGCTTACCAGTTCGCCGAGGCTTTTCCGGTTTCTTTGTGTCTGACTGGAAGTCGTCTGAACTGGGAGACAAAATAGGTTTCTTCATCTTCGCCTTGCCGAAAACCTTGCGACTAGAATTAGGGTTTGAATTTTTCTCAAAAAATAATTTTTTTTGCACGAGTTTTGGTTTATTTTGTGGAAGAATTTTACGGAGACGGGCACTTGATCTTAAAACTGGTGAAACGCCGACATCATCTGCCGGATTTTTCCGATGAGGAAGAGTGCTTTTGGTTTTCGCCATTGAGAATTGAAGTCGCCCAAAGTTGAAAGGATTTGCAGATTGAAGTGGTAAATGGGGCGGTGGGTGGTTTGGGGGAACTTACCTTTTAGTTACCTATTTTTTTGGTAAGTGATATTTAATTTCCCATAATTATCTCACTAATATTTGAAAATGGTTTTTAGGTATAAGTGAAAATCTTTTAGGTTGTTTAGGTAATTGTAAAAATAAATATATAAGGGATACAAAACTGTTATTTATTTTAAGTTTAAAAGTATGACATGCAATTTCCTCATTTATTTTCCACGCAACCACTTTTTGGGAGGAAATATTTTGATAACATTCACATCCAATTAAAAGGAGGCTTCAATACATATTCACGCAGCCGCGGGGAGGAATTCTTTGGAGAAAAGCCGAGCAGAGGACAGATACGCGGACACATACGAGGAAGCCGATCAAACGCGGAGGAAGCCGCACCCGTATACGAGGGAGATAATTAATCTCTCTCTCTTTTATCTTTTATTTTTTCTTTTATTTATTATGTTAGAGTAGATTTTCTTTCTAGTTCGAGGGAAGTTGAACCATAAGATTGGCTATGTTTTGATTGATTATGGTTGATGATTTTATTATTTTTTTGGAATTGTTTGTGTTATTTTGAATAATTCACCATGATGTGTTGAGTCTTATTTAGATTGATCACCTAGATTAGACTTTATATATCTACACCTGAATTAGGCCTTCAATCCGTAATTGTTGATGTGTTTAATTCGCAAGTGGTATCCGGAAGATGGTAACTACCGGGAATAACACGGCCTATTTAAGTGAACGAACGTGTCACTACTTAGTTTAGTCTATTTTTCTAATTCGTAAAGCGGCTGGTTGTATTAAATCTAAGAAGCATTTTCTAGACTGTACAAGAAGTCAGGTCTAATCGTAGAGCATCTCGAGGTTAGATTAAAAATAAGGAAAA